TAAGGTGGAAAAAAATGTATGACGCAAAAGTCTTGTACTTTTCCTCTCTCCTTATTTTAAATCTTTACGTAAAAGTCTTGTACTTTCCCCCTCTACTTATTTTAAATCTTTATTATGAGTCCCACAAATATCGTGAAGTTTATAAGTTTAAGAGATTTTTCTTCCTAATATGTTAGTCTTTTAGGATAAGATTTTCCTTTTGATCTTATACTTATCACATTGGTGATTTCATTAAGACTCAACCAATCAAAGAGAGCCACCTGCAGAGGGTTTTGACCAATAGGAAACAGAGTGAAATGCCGTAGAGTTGAGCACCCGGGAACTTCAGCCTTCGGGGGAGTGCATTGTTATGAGTCCTACGCTAGGGAGTCTTATAAGTGTTCTAGGGTTTATAAGTTAAACACTCTCTCTTCTAATAGATTAGTCTTTTCAGATTGAGAGCTCTCCCTTTAAACTTACACTCATTACAATCTTGGTGGGATCAATTTTACTTAGGGTTGCTCATGAAACGGGATGGGGACAAGCCCATCCCGATAAATAAGGATGGGACACAAAATCTGTCTAATGTCCCGTCCTGTCCTGTATTTTTCTTTTGTTTTTTTAAACATTTTTTGCCTTGCAGGTGGGCTGTTCAATGGATCTTTTTTTTTTTTTTAATTTTTAATTTTTTGGGCTTGACCCTTTTAAAGTATCTTTTTTGTTTCTTTGCTTAAGGGATCTATCTGAAGAACAAAATAGCGTTGTGGCTGATTGGGTTGGTAATGGTACGTGGGATTTTTCAAAGTTGCTTCATGTGGTTCAGGTCAAACGTTTTTGCTAGCCTTACCAGTGTTATGCCCCCTTTTGATTCTGCTGGGGAGGATGTTTTAGAAAGCTTCAAAGGCTGGTATATTCGGTATAAAGAGTGCTTATTTTCTTATCGAGGAGAATCCTACTACTCTCTATAGCTCGATTTATAGACTTATTTGGAAATGGAGAGGTGCTGAAAGGGTTCGGGTGTTCATTTGGAGAGTCCTTCATGGTAGACTTCCTGCAAATCTTTGGAGTAGTAGATGGTCCAATGTTCTACTTTGTGCTCTTAATGCCTCAATGATGTGGAAAGCATTTTACCTGTTCTTAGAGACTGTGACTATGCAAAATCTGTGGGGAACTCTCTTGTGGATCATAAATATGTGAATAGATTTTTTTCCCGACATCTTTGAGAGAGTGGATTAATGCCCTAATCTTCAGGTAAACATGGGTCTTGATGGGAATGATGATTGGAATTTGGGCCGGGGATTTTCATTATGGAAGCTTTGGCTTTGGAGGAATAAAGCAACTTTTAATGCTAATTTTGTAAAGCCTATAGATTCTCCTGCTGTGATCAATCATAGCTGGCAGAATTTTACAGTTGTGACTGAACCAATAAAACATGCTGTGAAGGAGTCTACGGCTTGCTCTGTTTCTTGGTCTCCTCTACCTCAAGGATGGTTCAAATTAAATGTTGACTGTGCTGTTTCAAAATCCTCCAAGAAAGCTGGTTGTGGAGGTGTTATTAGAGACCGTTGTGGGAATTGGATTGTTGGTTTCTCTTTTCAGATTGGTTCATGCAGTGTGTCCTTGAGGCTGAAGCTTGGGCCATATTTAAGGGCTTGAAGTTAGCTTGGGATTTTGGATTCAAGAAGGTTATACTTGAATCTGATGCAAAGGCTTTGACTGATTATCTAGCTGAGAATGATCCCACCTACTGCTGTAGCCTTTTGTTGATGCAGATTCATAGTTTGCTGAAGTACAAGTGGAAGATCAAGCTGTGCTCTATTGGAAGGCAGGCTAATGAAGTTGCTGATGCTCTAGCCAAACAGGGGATCTCTGTTTCCTTCTATTTTGATATCTGTCCGAGTGATATGAGAATTTTAGTGAAAAAGGATTGTTTGGGTTTTAATCCCAAGGAGTTTTCTTTAGGTTGTTTTCTGATGTACCAAAAAAAATAATGATAATTAGTAGCATAATAATTCTAGAATTTATTTGGGTTAATGCAAATTTTTGTCCCTTAAGTTTGTCTTCATTTTGATTTTAGCCCATCAAATTTCAAACCATAAGTTTTGGTCCTTCAAGTTTATTTTTATTTATAACATTGGCTTTTATAATCTAATAAAAATTTGGACCATTTTGCCTTTTGGGGTACCAAAACCTATGGTTTGAAATTTGAGAGACCAAAACCAAAATAAGAATAAATTTGAGTGATTAAAATTTATAGTAACCCTTCTTTTCACCATTCCGAGCGAAATTTTTTTTTCCCTTGATATGTCTGAATAAAATATTTCTTCCTGCCTTTACCACCAGCTTAATAAGCTGCATTATAGCAAAAAATTAAAATTTTCTAAGCTGCTTCTCTGGACTACGCTTTGAAGAAGATGACGACATGAATTATACATCTTCCAATACAAAAAGTTTTGCATTTGGGGAAAATTAATATTTAAGTATCCAACAATTATAATATGATAAAAAAAAAAGAAAAATACTACTACCCCATCCCATCTCAATCCTATTTTTGGTCTAATTTTGATTTGTCCCGTTTCAAAAAATTTTGAGACCTGTCCCAATATGGTCGGAATCACGATAGGCCTACTTTGAACATTCTTAGTTTTACCTGTAGTCACGTGGAGTGTGTATATTGGCGTATGGGAGGCTAGAGAACAAAATCTACTCTCACATTGGAACTCTCTCCACAAGTATAGTGTGTGTATATTCTTTTGCCTAATACGTATTTTTTCAAAAAGGAAAAAAAGTGTTCTGTTTTCGATGATCTCATAGGAAAATTATAATTTCCTAACACAGGTTATTGCACCAATTCTTAAACGATTCATTTATAGACTATTAGCATATTTTACAAGAAACCTTTAATACACCTCAATTTTTCCCACTTCCCAAATGTTTTTCTTCTCTTATTTCTTTTATCACTAGATTTTACATAAAATGAGTGAAATTTTCATATCTCATTAGTAAAAGATAGTGCTGTTTTCAATTTTTTTTAATGATTTTTCAAGAAATTTGCATATAAATTAAAAAGAAACTAAACAAATTGTAGAGTACCTTTTCTTTGAAAAATCATAAAAAATTGAAAATAGTACATTTTTTGTCCATAAGATATTAAAATTTCATTCATTTTATGCAGAATTTAATCATAAAAAGAAGCAAAAAAACATATTTGGAAAGTACAAGAAAATTGAAGGGTAATAAAAAGAGCAGCAGAGATGGGGCAGTTGACTCCCAAATTCGATTCAGCTAGTGTGAAAAAGCCTTTATGCCGCACTAGCGGTTGTTGGACGCAAACGGGCAACTGCTGTGGGCGTCACAATTGACTATTTAAAGGCCAATAGTTGATTAGTAGCAGATGGAACAACCAGACAATGTTTTCCACACAATAATCGACCCGTTTGCAATTCTTATCAGTCAGCTGCTCTATTTAGTTAATTGGGCATACATTATTCAACGTTCCAACTCGGAATTCGACAAATGATCTGCTGATGATAGAATTGTACGTGATAAGTGTCTAGTTTGTCAATAAAACAAGTTTTATATTACCAAAGTTATTATTATTGGTGTAATAGGGTTAATATAATACTCCTCCGGTCCTTAATATATAGCGTAATTATTGAGTTGATTTTGGTACTAAATATAAGAATTATTTCTCATATTTATCAGTTTTTCCTAAATTATCCCTATGGACATTCCTTAACCATAATTAAGTAGAAGAGGAAGAAAGGATATTAAGAAAGATGATTACGGTGTTTTAGGAAAAACATGTTATATTTCTTATAATTAATTAACTTATATAACTTCTTAATTTAATTAAATTAGTTAAATAGGTCTTATATTAAAGACCGGAGGAGTATTTGGTTTCTCAAGTTTGTTCTCACTTTTAATTTAGTTCCTTAAGGTTCAAACCATAAGTTTTAGTCTCTTAAAAGACAAAATAGTCTGAATTTTTATTAAATTATAGAGACTGATGTTTTAAATGAAAAGAAACTTGAGGGATGAAAACTTAGGATTTAAAACTTTAGATATCAAAATCAAAATAAGAGCAAACTTGATCGGCCAAAAATTATATTAACTTGTTGTAATGTGTTTGTCGTATATATAATCAAATCGTGTCAAAATGTCGTAATGTAAAATCCATATTATTTTACTATTAAATTTCAAATAATTAAAGCCTTTTCATTTGAAAATTTTTCATAAGGAATGATTTGTTTTGGAATAGATAAATCCACCGTTAAATGAAATAAGTTCATGTCAAAATGATATTTAGTTTGTGAAATATTGTAAATATATAATGGTGATCAAAGTTCAAGCTAGGATTTTTGAGAAAATCCCTATCGACCCCCTATCTTTTAAAACATATATTTAGACATAGAGAAAAAAAATTAATTCTATGAAAGCATAACTATAACTACTCTTAAATAGGAAACCTTTAACATGTATAATCAATATGGATATTTTAGATAATAAATTATAAATTTGGAAGATAAAGTAGGCAAGGTTTTATATTTATGATCAAATCCAAATTCTAACTGGCTTTCACATCAAAGATAGGAAGTAGTAGTATAATATCAAAACACATTCGATATGCAAACAAGCATATAAGTGACATACATGTCAAACATTAATTTCCTTTTGCTTGTTTATCCAAGTAATAGCAACCTTTGAATTTTGAGTTATACCGTCATAAAACGTTACTTTGAGTTCCATGTAAATTAATGAATTATTATGTTTGATGAACATGATGGCCGCCGAAATTTATGACTCCAATTTCAACTAAGATCGAAGAATGAGAGGGAAGAAAGTGGAGAGAAGAATATGAAAGAAAAGAACTTTCATTTTGACTCGTATGCAACCAAATGACAATTCAGGAAGATTCAAAGAATTTGCAGGCGAACCATTCATTTTCCCCATAGCATGTTTTTTCACATACTAAATAGATTAACAAACTTTGTTGCCCACCAAAGCAATCGATAACTTAGAAGAAAAGCCAATTGCTGAGAGCTAAGTTCCATGGAGAAAAAAACTCACATAGCCGTTATTCCCAGTGCAGGACTCACCCATCTTGTCCCAATTATTGAGTTCTCCAAGCGACTTGTTCAGCTATTCCCAGATTTTCATGTTAATTGCATCATTCCCACACTTGGGTCTCCTTCCTCTTCCTCCATAGCCTACCTTCAAACTCTTCCTTCAAATATACATTCCATTTTTCTCCCACCAGTTCATGAAAAAGACATTATTGCTCACCAAAACGATCAGCCAGTTCATATTGCAGTCCAAATTCAACGCGTAGTGACTCTCTCACTGCCATATATTCGTCAGGAATTGGAATCCTTGAGCTCAAGAGACGGCCTTTCAGCTTTGGTTGCTGATCCTTTTGCCTTGGAAGCACTAGAAATTGCTTCCGAACTCAATATATTATCTTATGTATACTGCCCCTTTTCTGCCATGGCTTCATCTCTTTACTTGCGTGCACCAATGTTGGAGAAGACAATCTCTGTGGAGTTCAGAGACCTACAAGATCCCATAGAGATGCCAGGCTGTGTGCCAATACAGGGAAGAGATCTCATAGACTCTCTTCAAGATCGAAGCAACATAGTTTACGAGCAATTTCTTGAGCGTTGCAGAAGAATCAGTCATGCTGATGGAGTTCTTGTTAATAGTTTCTCAGAATTGGAAACTGAGACAATTAAAGCCTTACAAGAAGAGTTCAAAGGAAAGCCCAAGATTTACCCCGTAGGACCCATATTACAAAGTGGGTTATGTAGTGAGCAAGATATTAACGGATCGGATTGTTTAAAATGGTTGAACAATCAAAATGCCAGATCAGTTCTATATGTTTCATTTGGGAGCGGAGGGACAGTGTCTCAAGATCAACTTAATGAACTTGCTTTCGGGTTGGAACTAAGTAGTAAGAAGTTCTTATGGGTTGTGAGAGCCCCAAGTAAAATTGCTAGTGCCACTTATCTTGGTTTTGAAAACAGGAATCCTTTAGATTTCTTACCAGAAGGGTTTTTGGAGAGAATCAAAGGCAAAGGTTTGGTCATTCCTTCATGGGCACCTCAAATTCAAATACTTAGCCACAAAGCAATTGGTGGGTTTTTGAGTCATTATGGTTGGAATTCCATTCTTGAGAGCATACAGAAGGGAGTGCCATTGATAGCTTTTCCATTGTTTGGAGAGCAGAGAATGAATGCTGTTTTAGTAACCAATGGCCTGAAGGTGGCATTAAGGCCACAGGTTAACGAAAATGGCATGGTGAAAAGGGAAGAAATTGCAAAATTGATAGAGAGTTTGATGGAAGGTGAAGAAGGTAAAGAGATTCGTGCAAGAATGAAGGATTTAAATGATGCTACTGCTAATGCACTGAGTGAAGAATTTGGTTCCTCTGCAAAAATACTCTGTCAAATGGCACTCAAGTGGAAAAATTTTGGTGGGATTGAAAAATGATAATTTTTTTTAATATTTTGGTTTTGTTTTCCAGTTATTGATTCTAGCTTATTGTTTCGTATTGGAATATTAAATTTGGTTCTTGGTCAATCCAAAATCAGAAAAATTGTTGTGGGGAAAGAAATAGTAGAAACAAACTTTTATTGCTTTTGTCGAATATTTTTTATTGTCATTTCCATATTTATTTAGATTGCTAGTAAATTTTATTGAAGCGAAAAAACTGTCTCCAAAAATCAAGATCGTGGGTAGTGACTCTGCCACCTTAGGTGAAATTGTTAGAGGAACCTAATAATTATATAATTTATAAATTTTTATACTCCTCTGGTCCTTAATGTAAGACCCATTTAACTAATTTGATTAGATTAAGGAAGTTAGGTAAGTTAATTAATTATAAGAAAAGTGACACATTTTTCCTAAAACACCATAATCATCTTTTTTAATACCTCCCCTCCCTCTTCTATTTGATTATGGTTGAGGGAGTATCTATAGGGGTAATTTAGAGAAAATTGATAAATATGATAAATGGGTCTTATATTTAGGACCAAAACCAACTCAAGAATTGGGTCCTATATTAAGGACCGGAGGAGTATCATTTTTCTTATTTTGTTGAGTAGTGAAATTGTTAGCTTATAAATGTTTGTTGAGTAGTAAAGTCATTTATAGAAGTTGTATAATCATATCATTCTAACATTTTGCTCTGGATAAATAATACATTAAGAATTAGATCACCAAATAACTTGATTAATTTGTTTGCATGATAAAAATATATTTATTAGGCCAACAAATATTAATCCAAGATGGCAAAAAAAAAAACATAAAACAAAAATTAGTCTAAAAACTTTATCCATAACTTTATTAATTAAGCGGGCAATCTGCAATTATCTCTATTTTAAATTCAAATAATGTGCATACGCCTTGACATTTATGATCTCTCTTGACCCAAATCATCAAAACTCTTTAATGTAAAAAGAAAATAAAGAAATATATTTATTCAAAAATAGGATCAATGGCTAAGAAATTATCATCTAATTAAAATTAAACCACGGCTATAAAAAAACAAGGGGAATTTTCAATAATTGCAGCTTTTACCCAATAGTTTTGCAAAATTACACTTTGATTCAAAACTTACCAAATATCCACATAATGCTCAAGGCAAGCACGTATTAGGCCCCCATTAGTGCTTATGAATTTCAACTGCAAGACAAAAATCTAACGTGGATATAGTTCAGTAATTGATGCTTCATTTACTGATTGTTGAATAGAGTTATTTCCTCCTTCATTTGATCTTGTTGCTTTTGAACTGTACTCCCTTAAATGTATCTCTGATGAACCTCTGGTGTTTATTAAAAGTGGAGGCTTTGAAGGAAAGGGAAGAGAGGAAGAGTAGCTATTCGGCATAACTACAACTGAAGCCATGGTTGGCCTATCAGCCACATTTTCTTGAACACATAATAACCCAATATGGATGCATCTCATTATTTCATTTCTTGAACCATTGTTTAATATAGGATCTGCTAAATTGAAAGCCGTCCCGTCTCTCCAATTTTTCCATGCCTACAAAAAGTTTATCATCAATGATAAACATTAATCCCAAGCTACTTTTACAATTACATGTGAGCTAGTCATGATACATAGAACAACCACAACAACAAAATCTTGTCCTACTAAATGGGGTCGGCTACATGGATTGTATAAAGCCTTGAACTCTATTAACAATCAAATATTTGGTTAGGTTACTAAATGAAAAATCCTGCTTAATAATTTCATTGAGTGTTCTCTTTGACTTTCTTCTACCCTACAATCTTAATTTTATGTGTATGTATTGAAAGATGACAAATACATGTATGCATGAGTGAAAAGAGGAAAGGGGCTTACATAGCTTAATAGATCATGGGCGTTCTCTTCATCAAAGACACTGTTGTTCTTTTTGCCACTTACAATCTCTAGAACCAATATGCCAAAACTGAAAACATCTGATTTGATGGAGAATTGTCCATGCATTGCATATTCTGGTGCCATATATCCACTAAATGTCAAGATAATAATGAGCTTAGTTAGATGTGTTAGTTGTGAATAAGTATTGTGATTTTTGATTGATAATAAGGCTAGCGATATACTTACTAAGTTCCAACAATTCTGCTGGTATTGCTTTGAGTTTGGTCAACAACAAATAGTCTTGCCATACCAAAATCTGATATTTTGGGATTTAACTCTTCATCTAAAAGAATATTACTTGCTTTGAGATCTCGATGAATAATACGTAATCTTGAATCTTCATGAAGGTAAAAAGGCCACGAGCAATGCCTCCTATGATTTTGTGGCGCATAACCCAATTCAAATGAACACTCTCATTCATATCTGCAATATTTTCATATCTATTTAAGGCTATGATCCATTGAAACTACGTCTACAATATGCATTTTGATTTTCCTCCAATATAAACGAAAGAATAGAAGCACCATGCATCAAATTAAGACAAAAACATCCCTATAACTTACCAAACAATAAGTAATCAAGGCTTCTATTGGGAAGAAACTCATATACCAATAGCCTTTCTTTCTTTTCCAAGGAGAAGCCCAATAATCTCACTAAATTGCGATGTTGGAGTTTAGCCACCAAAAGCACTTCATTTTTAAATTCTAAATCTCCTTGGCCGGAATCCATGGACAACCTTTAACAGCAATGTCTTGCCCATTTGGAAGCTTGCCCTGCATTATTTATTAGAGTTGGGGCGTGCAATTCTTTAATCAATACCAGACTACACGCACACTCACACACACATGACAATTTAATGTTGTTTACCTTATATACTGATCCAAACCCTCCTTGTCCAAGCTTATTGGCAATAGAGAAGTTATCTGTGGCGAGTCTTATGGTGTTGAAATTAAATTGCAGTGACTCAATTGGTTTAATTTCATCATCATCATCCTTTGCTTCAGGTTGATCAGCTAAGAAAAAAGTCAAACAAAAGATGTACCTGAACTTCTTTATCCATTATCATGATAAAAAAAAAAAGTGATTTTTAAAAGTCCTATTTAAAAGTACTTTTTCACAAATCGAGATAAACTTTTTTACATATTTATTTCGTATAACGTAAAAGTATTTTTAAAACCATAGTTTTGATCCAAGCAACCCCCATTAAAATTAACAATGTTCAAAGAAAACATTATTTTGGCTTACTTTCAATTGTTTTCTTCGATCTCCGAACCATAAAATAGATGCAGATCAATACAAGAATCGCGATAAAAGCACCAATAGACACAGCCACGATTATGACTGTTCTTGATGTACTGTTGCCATTTCCTTACCCCCAAGAAAAAACAAAAGAAAGATCAGAAGCCAATTAACATATTTATTGACAAGATACAGAGAGAAAATTGCAAAAACAAAATTCATACTATTTAATACTCCTTCTTTGTATAAGATAGTAATAACTGAATTACATAGATAAAAATTAGGTTAATATTGATTAAAGGTAATATGTGTATAATCAATAAAGTGAGACTAACGGATAATTAATTTGGGAAAAACAAAAAAATAATACTAAAAATGTTAAACAGGATATTAGTTACTCTTATAAATATGTCATTTCTAAATAAATTTCTCATACATATAGAGGACGGAAGAGTAATTGCTTTAATTGCTTCTTTGCCTTGAAAAAAAAAAAAGGAAATTTCTTTAGTAATTTAGAAAGAGGAGTAAGTACTTTCTGGGGAAGACAAAGCTTTAGGTGAAGCAGAAGTTCCTGCCATGACATAAAAAGAAAGAGGGAAAAAAAACTTATGCGAATTTGGGAAATAAATCACGTTTGTTGATTATTCAAGTTAATTAACTAACATTGGATTCCTAATTAAGCATAGTATTAAACTATACAGTGTTACGTTAATCAACATGGGATGAGGTACTATTTACCATGTGAGCACACTTTACAAATTTAACATAAATAATAATTGCCTGATGGCAAGAGTTTAGATATGATATATATATATATATATATATATTTATAAATGAGTGCTATTTAGCATGTGATAGTTAGGTAATAACTTATATAAATAATTGTCTTTTCACTCTGAAGTTGAGGTCGCATATATATGTATACTCACACAATTGATAGGGAAAATTAACTACACTATTTATAACTCATAAAATGATCAGTTTATTATTTAATTAGAAGATATATAAACTGATGTATGGACTATGGGTTATAAGTCTTATCTATTGGGAAAAAGATACAAAAATATCTCACAGATCTGTAAATAACAGTTCTGGGCCTTAAAATATCTAATTACTTACAGTAACGTCCCTAAGGAGTTGTCCTGGATTAAATTTTATAGTAAAATTACTTAAATATCCTTAATTTGAAATTTGAAAAAGGAAAAAAAAATGGAATGACAACAAGTTTAATAAGTAAAAAGTTTAATTTATCGAATAACAACTACAACTAAGATAGTAATAGCCAATTTCACAAAAATTTCGTAGAAGGCAATTAAGTCATTTAAGAAAAAAAGAAGTTATAGCATAGTCCCAAAATAATTGAAAGGAATTAAGCTATTTCCAGTGATCATTTTGGAATTCTTATATATAAGTTGTCCTTGTGTATGATTTCTCCCTTTGTCTTTTTTCCCCCTTGTATAACTCAAAATATTCTCAAGTTATTTTAGACTTTGAAACTAATATCTGTTGGGAGCGTTAAGGTTAAAGTTCTTCTAATAAGTATGTTTCCCTGTATTCAAACTTGTGTTCTTCTTCTTATGGAAGCACTTACCATCTTAACCAACTTGTTGGTTGATTTCTCCCTTTGTTATTATTTAGCATTAAATGAACATACTACCTCCGGTCCTAATTATAAGACCCAGTTGACTAATTTGAGGAGATTAAGGAAAGAAGTTAAGTTAGTTATTTATAATAAATAGGTATTGCCTTTCCTAAAATATCCTTACTAATAAACTATATTGGTTAGAACTACAATTATTAGAAGGACTATTTTGGAAAAAAAAACATAAATATGAGAGACAAAGTGGATTTGGGTTTTATATTTAGGACCAAAATAAAAGTCAAATAGGGTCTTATATTAAGGACCGGAGGTAGTATATAGATTGGCATGGTGATCAAA